AGCTCGTGTTCATCTCGGGCGCCTGTGGCGCCCTCGACTGCCACTCGTGCTCAAACATCAACCTCGCCCGGAAAGACCCATTTTCGGCCCTTGATGCACAAAGTACTATTTTCTTCGGACTGTATAATTATTCAATTCTTGCATTGAAACTCTAAAGCATACGATTAAAACTTAAATGTCAAATCTTCATTTCGAATGTTGTACAAAGCCTGCAACGTACCTGTTTGCTTCGTGTTGAAAATGAACCACCCCTTTTTTTCCTCAGACGGCACGGTACGTGATTCTTGCTCCGGAGCGAACCAATCGACTGGAGTCGTATTCTTGAAATTAGGATTCGACTCCTCGACATAAGTGATTGGTATCCACCACCTGGTAGGATATTCGATGACTTTCATCAGCACGATTACGAAATGTTCTTGTGTCAATTGGTAGCCCTGTTTGACTCTCTTAACTGTCAACGTCGGATATCCCGGATATTCCACCCAGTTATACATTATAACTTGCACGGGCTGTTTCCATTTAATCCCACTCTCATCCAGGGCTTTCTGGAGGGACCGGAAAAGGTCATTCGAATCCGCATTACCCAACGCGCTGCAACAGTTATTATTATTTAGTAGTATTATGCAATACAGAAAAGAGTATAGAAATTGAGGAAGAGCAGATATGAGTAGAAGAACTTTGAATAGGTATTAGGAGGAATTATTTAATTGTCGTTTAGAGGTTCGAGAAGAAAGTTCGTTACGACTTTTATAGAAAATTTAATGGTTGCACAATTAAATTTTGACATACATTTAGTCATTTATTGAATTAAATACGTACTATTTTGTTCCACACTTTTTCATGCAACTTATACACTCTACTTCTAAAAACAGTCCAAAGTACGCATTTATGCCATTCAATACTACATAGTTACTTCTCAGATAATCAAGAGAAAATTCGTTTTAATGCTGAGTTTGAGTTCATTGCCGAGCACTTTTGTCCTTATTTTATTCAGAGCATCGGAATTTTTGATACATGGATCAAGAAATATATGAGTATGTGAAAATGCACGAAAACAAATGATGTACATGTACTCTGAAACGAAAATCGTAATAACTGTATACATTTTGTAACAACCACAAAAATTAATCGACACCCGTTAATAAAAAGATCTGCCGAAAACCGCGGGGACCGCCGGCCTAACAACACGGATTATTTATTAACAGCAATCGTTAGCAATGCGTGATTATATAAGGAGCGGTCGGACCGGCGAATTCTCGCATTCTTTGTTGTGCTCGGTTGGGGAAGAACGGGGTAAGCCAGGGGTCTCAGAATTTTTCCCGCACGGCTCGCTTCCCCTGTTTTTTTCGCCCGTATTTCGAGCCCCACTACTATTCCCCTCATGCGTGCTCATGCGCGTTCGCGAAGCTCTCCGCAGCGCTACCGTGAAAATCACTGCATACCCTCACCAACTATTGGTCCCCACCATGGTCGCGTCGTCCCCACTTTCCGGCCGTGGGATAAATTACGAGACCCCTGGATACGGGAGGTGCTCGTCGTTCATCGAGTACCCTTGTATCTTCGAGAGGTAATAGGGTCGTAGCTTAGTGACAGGCGGATAAACTATCGGGGCCGGTACGGGGGACTGCACCACCGGGCGGTGGATCGCGGGGTTCCACAGGGGTCCGTGCTGGGCCCACTTCTGTGGAATCTAACGGAGGAGAGTACGGACATCTACAATCACTCGGTGATGCTATCCTGGAAAAGCGTGTGGAACGCGAAATCGGCTGAGGGACTGGTGGACTTAGGAATCATCAGGCGGAACGAGCTGAAAATTCTGTCAACCAGGGCTCTCATCGGTACACTGGCGGGCTACCACAAGTATGTGGCATCAACGGCGGTTCGACGTGTAGGTGTGGGGTGAAGGTGCTATGCTCCGAACCATAAGTGCTACCTCCCTAGTAGGTATAAATATTTCGTGAACATATCATGT